ATTTCAATATAATCTTCATACTGTGGCAAAAATTTTAAATGATTTTTAAAAGATTTTTGGCAGAAGCCCCTGCACTGTTATAAAGTTTAGATTTCAAATCCCAATATTAAACATGAATTGGAAGTAGGGGAAGGGAAATATACTACTATAACAATAGCAGCAGCAACAGTAAATCTATAAAACAATCCTGATCAATACCAGTGGTGTAGAAGTTGGAGACTAAAGGTAAAGGTTTCCCCTTGACATTAAATCCAATCAAGTCCGACTCTGGGGGGTGATGCTCATCTCCATTTTTAAGCCAAAGAGCTGGCATTGTGCGTAGACACCTCCAAGGTAATATGGCTGGCATGACTGCATGGAGTGCTGTTACCTTCCCGCCAGAGCAGTACCTATTGATCTACTCACATTTGCGTGTATTCGAACTGCTAGATTGGCAGCAGCTGGACCTAATAGCCGACCTTTTGGTCAACAAGTTCAGCAGCTCAGCGGTTTAACCCGCTGCACCACCGAGGGCTAGACAACTAAAAATCCAAAAGTGACCTAAATCACAAACTGATAGGTCATAAATCTCAGATCAACTTCCACATTAAAATTTAATCTCATTATGTTTTGCAAAACTAACTAAGATTAGAGATTCATGTGAAAATATACTTTTTCCTCATCCTGCAATATTTTATGAAGCCGAAGCTTCTAAGGAAAGAAATGTACATTCGCAGTGAGGAGGAAGAATTGAGAAGAATTCATCCCAGTTCATGTCTTGAAAGGTCTAATTAAAATTCAATGTTGCACTTTACATATGGGTTCTTATATGAAACTCCTGTCATGTCTAAGGCTTAAGGTTAACCAGGTTAATAGAGTCCAATAAAACAGCTCTATTGAATTACACCATGCCACTGTAACACACTGCGATCTGCTTCTCTTTTCTTCCTGACCACTGCACTAACATTTAAGCCAACAATGTGTGGTTAGCATCCAAGAACTATTTCTGTGTAGGATAGAAACTTCCAAAACGCCACCCCTCTTCCCTTGAAGAAAGTGCATATATTTACACCTCAAATATTTCCCTCCAGTCTGCTATTCCCATTGTCACAGTGCTATGTGTTAACAGATCTGCATATACTTGCCAAGTATCACTCAGTCGAAACAGAGACACTCCTCTCAATATGGATTCATTACAAGTGTGGGGTTTTTTTTCCATTTAGCACCAGCACCCTATCCATGAAGGATTTTATGAACCTCCCCAAACCCAAGAACCTTGTTTGTTTACTTTATACCCATGCCCATTTGCGTTATAAAATCATTTCACTACACACTTATATCTCACTTACAAATATATATGCGTAGATAAAAGGTCTATAGTGTAGAATGCACTGTTAGCAGAAGACAAAATCTTTCCTATCTGTTGGAATTGGATGATGGAAGTTTACACTACAGCACCATCTACTCTGACTATTTAATGTAATTTGAAGCTAGCTTCAAATTGCACCGACCAGACAACAAACTCTTACAAAAGCGTGCGGGGAAAAAAAAGCCCTTAATGTGCTCTGTGATTTGTATCATCACCATTCAGGCTTTGAACTGGTTCCAGAATTTCCTATGGAATCATCTGCATAGAGAAGCCACTTTCTCCAAAACCAGTTTAAAACTGCATTAAATGGTCAGAGTAGATGTGCCTACCTCTCCACAAAAGTCAACATTGACACTGAAATACAACACCGCCTGAGCTCTGTGAGTGCAGCATTTTACCAAATGAAGCACAGAGTCTTTGAGGACTGCGACATCCGTAGGGAGACCAAGGTGCTTGTTTATAAAGCAATTGTCCTCCCAACCCTGTTATATACCTGCGAGATGTGGACTGTCTACAGACGTCGCATGCAATTCCTAGAACGATTCCATCAGCGTTGCCTCCGAAAAATCCTGGAAATCTCTTGGGAAGACAAGCGGACAAATGTCAGCGTGCTCGAAGAAGCAAAGACCACCACCAGCACTGAAGCAATGGTACTCCGCCATAAACTCCTCTGAACCAGCCACAATGTCCAGATGCCCGACCACCATCTCCCAAAGCGGTTGCTCTACTCTGAACTCAAGAACGAAAATGAAATTTTGGTAGGCAGGAAAAGAGATTTAAAGATGGGCTCAAAGCCAATCTTTAAAACTCTGGCATAGACACTGAGAACTGAGAAGCCCTGGCCCTTGAGCGCTCCAGCTGGAGGTCAGTTGTGACCAGCTGTGCTGTAGAATTTGAAGAGGCACAAATGGAGGGCAAAAAAGAGAAACGTGCCAAGAGGAAGGTGCGCCAAGCCAACCCCGACTGGGATCACCTTCCACCTGGAAACCAATGCCCTCGCTGCGGGAGAATATGCAGATCAAGAATAGTCCACAGTCACCTACGGACCCACCGCCAAAACACTGATCTTGGAAGACAATCCTACTCAGACAACGAAGGATCGCCTAAGTAAGTAAGTAGGGGCCTTTTCCATGTAAAGTTTGGCCACTGACTAATTTGGCTAAGAAGACCCCATGACAGGAAAGTAATTGGGACTTAAAGGCACACAACAACAAATTTTGAAGTCTTGGCCAGAGATCTCCTCCAGAACCTCTGAGGAATCTAAAAATCCCAGAATCCCATAGAAGGCAGACAGGTCAGATAAAGCAGAATTAGGAAAAGGTAAAGGTTTCCCCTGACATTAAGTCTAGCTGTGTCCGACTCTAGAGGGTGGTGCTCATCTGCATTTCTAAGACGAAGAGCCGGCGTTGTCCATAGACACCTCCAAGGACATGTGGTCAGCATGACTGCATGAAGCACCGTTACCTTCCCGTAAAAGCAGTACCTATTTATCTACCCACATTTGCATGTTTTCAAAGTGGTAGGTTGGCAGAAGCTGGGCCTAAAAGCTGGAGCTCACCCCGCTCCCCAGATTAAAACCGCCAATTTTTCGGTCAGCAAGTTCAGCAATCAGCAGTTTAACCCACTGCACCACCAGGGGGCCCATAGTAGAAATATGGTGCTATAATTGATAAAGGACCCTGTGTTTTATTCACAAAGCTGTGCAAATGAGAAGAGTCCAGCCTTCCGAATTTCTAGGTATTTTGAATTTCAACTTTTATCATTCACCATAGCCTTGGCCAATGGTCAGTTGTGCTCCAAATCATCACAGGGGAATCAGAATAGAGAAGGATGCCTTTGTTTAGAAGTGGGTCTATCATAATCCATGGCATTTCAAGCTCCTGTAGAATGTGTCGGACTTCTTGTGCTTTTGCTTCAATCGATTTGGGGTTTTAACCATACTTTCAACCCAGGGTGCAGGATCTGGCATTCAAATGATCAAAGGGTTCTCTGTATATACTCAGAGGTCCTCTCCATAGTATTTTATCCTCCATCAGGGCTTGAGGTTCATAATGGAGGGTAAACTCAGTTACCAATGAGAATTTGAAACTGAACTAATTTAGGTGGGACCGCAGTTTAATTCTAATTTAACATTTACCATTTGTATGTTCTCAATTGTATAGTTTTTGTTAAGGCAATGAGCTGCTTTGGGCCTCAGTGCTTGAAATAAAAGCAGAGTATAAATATGTAACAACAACACTAGTAAAGGTAAACATTAACTCTAGTCGTGTCCGATTCTGGGGGTTGGTGCTCATCTCCATTTCTAAGCCGAAGAGCCGGTGTTGTCCATAGACACCTCCTAGGTCATGAGGCCAGCATGACTGCATGGAGCGCTGTTACCTTCCCACACAAGCGGTACCTATTGATCTACCCACATTTGCATGTTTTCAAACTGCTAGGTTGGCAGAAACTGGGGCTAACAGTAGGAGCTCACCCCACTCTGTGGATTCGAACCACCGATCTTTTGGTCAGCAAGTTATGCAGGTCAGAGGTTTCACTTGCTGCACCACCGCAGCCCCCAGGTCCCACAACACTACTATGTAACAAAATATGAAATAAAAATCTGTTCCTGGTTTGAAAGTGTTATTTCCTGTTTTAATTGTGCAATGTTTACTTTGAAAGTAGTTGTTATATTCGAGAAACTTCATTTTTGTGGCTGCCACAAACTATTTATGTTGAATTGGTTGAGACTCTAAGAGATATTCATTGAAAAACTATAGCAAAATGTACTGCAGGATGTCCCGCAAAAACAAAGTTCTTGCAATTGAATAAACTTTTTCCTTGTTTTTATGATGGAGCAATTTTCTTTTCTGTGTCAGGAGCGACTTAAGAAACTGCAAGTCACTTCTGGTGTGAGAGAATTGGTCGTCTGCAAGGACGATGCCCAGGGGATGTTTTACTATCCTTGTGGGAGGCTTCTCTCATGTCCCCGCATGAGAAGGTAGAGCTGATAGATGGGAGCTCACCCCCTGCTCTCCGGATTCGAACCTCTGACCTTTCAGTCAGCAGTTCTGCCAGCACAAGGCTTTAACCCATTATGCCACTGGGAGCTCCAATTAAGAAATGACATATATAACTCATGAACAAAATATTGTTTTTGCATAGCTTAATTCTATCCCAATGTTGTGCTGAACCTGGCAGGCCAAAGCTTGCCCTTGCTTGGCTTAGATGCACCCAAAAATGTCAACACAAGTCCATGGAGCAGATCAGAAATCCCTTTTCTGCTATTCCATCCCATGCACGGCAGAAATGAATGCATGCACTTTGGTACCCCTTGGCTCAAGGCTGTGGAATCCTGGGAGTTGTAGTTTGGAGGCAGGGCTCAGCCCTCTTTGTCAGAGGAGGCGGAAGACTTTTGCTCGACCACAACTCCCAGGATTCCTTGAGCCATGTGGTTCAGACTGCCCTCATGCCTAGCCTAGGGAAGAGAGTGGCAAGGAGGGTGCAGAGCGGGCAGGCCTGCCTAGGGGGAGCCTTGCAAGGCGCAGGGCCCAGATCTTCGCCCTGCCCTTCTTCCCCGCTGCCTGCCCAGCCGGGCTCCTTCTCCTTCTGGGCTCGGCTCTGCTTCCTGCTTCCTCTTGGCCCCACCCAGAGCGCCGGGGACGCCACTCACCTCCTCCTCCTCACCCTCCTCCTCCTCCTCCTCCTGGCTCGGCGGGCCCTCCTTGGAGGCCGGCGGCGGCGGCGGCACAGAGAGACCCGCCCCCAATCCCCGGGCCCGCCCCCTCGCGCCCGCCCCGGAGCAGCCCCAGGAAGAAAGCAAGGAAGCAAAGAAGGAAGCAGGCAAAAAAGCAGGGAAGAAGGCATGCCAGGAAGGAAGCAGGCAAGCAAAGAAAGAAGGAAGGAAGGAGGCAGGCCAGTAAGCAAGGCAGGAAGCAAGGAAGGAAGTAGGCAAGCAAGAAAGGAAAGAAACAAGGAAGGAAGGAGGCAAGGAAGGAAACAGGTAAGCAAGGAAGGAAGGCAGCAGGCAAGGAAGGTAGGAAGGAAACAAGGAATGAGGCAGGCAAGGAAGCAAGGAAGGTAGCAGGCCAGGAAAGAAGGAAGGAAGGAAATAGGCAAGGAAGGGAACAGGTAAGCAAGAAAGGAAAGAAGCAAGGAAGGAAGGAAGCATGCAAGGAAGCAAGAAAAGGAAGCAGGCAAGGAAGGAAGGAAGGAAGCAGGCAAGGAAGGAAGCAGGTAAGGAAGGAAGTAGGCAAGGAAGGAAGCAGGTAAGGAAGGAAGCAAGAAAAGGAAGGAGGCAAGGAAGGAAGGAAACAGGTAAGGAAGGAAGGCAGCAGGCAAGAAAGGAAACAGGCAAGGAAAGTAAAAAGGAAACAAGGAAGGAGGCAGGCAAGGAAGGTAGCAGGCCAGGAAAGAAGCAAGGAAGGAAACAGGTAAGCAAGAAAGGAAAGAAGCAAGGAAGGAAGTAGGCAAGAAAGGAAGGAAGCGTGCAAGGAAGCAGGCAAGCAAGAAAGGAAAGAAGGAAGGAAATAGGCAAGAAAGGAAGAAAGCAGGCAAGGAAGAAAGGAAAGAAGCAAGGATGGAAGGAAAGAAGCAAGGATGGAAGCAGGCAAGCAAGGAAAGAAGTAAGCACGCAAGGGCTTGGAGGACGCTCTCTTATGATAAGAATGTTGCCAAAGTACACCTCCTGCTCCCTGCAAAGAAAAAGGCGCCCTTTCCAAAGGATGTTGGGCTTCCTCGCTGCTCCTTCCAAATAATCACCATCAAAAGTACACAGAGTGTTCTCTCACAGCACCCCTCCAAAAAGTTTTTTTTCCAAAAAGCATTGTGCGCTCTACTCTCTAAAAGTAATGATTATGATGATAATACTATTGTGATGATGATAATCCAAGATACACTGCCCACTTAAAAAAGGTGCTTTTTCTACTCCCTCAAAATACTAATAATTTTTTTTTCGTATCAAGTCACTTCTGGTGTGAGAGAATTGGCTGTCTGCAAGGACATCCAGGGTACACCCAGATGTTTTGATGTTTACCATCCTTGTGGGAGGTTTCTCTCATGTCCCTGCATGGGGAGCTGGAGCTGACCGAGGGAGCTCATCCGCACTCTCCCCAGATTAAGGACAGTAAATAAGAAATGCCACTCAAAAACGGGAACTCCAGGCAGCAAACAATCAAAGTACCAGTTAACACCCCTCAAACAGGATGTCTTTAGGCAACAACAGCCAGGCTGCCTCTATGCAAATACCTTCACTCCTCTCCAAGTGCATACAATGTGGTTTAGGGGAGCATCTACACCAAGGGTCCCCAAAGGTCATTTAGCCAGGCTATGATCTAAACTTTAGACTTATGATTGCCCCAAGTTTGAAGCGATTTGTAGGCACACAACAACAACAATCCTAATTCATTTAACTCATCTTATCTCATCAGCCAAAAGCAGGCCCGTACTTCCCATTGAAATACTGGTAAGTTTATGCGGGTTAAAATTGTTCTTAAATTTAAATAGTGTATTGTTATTTGTGTGTGTGTGTTTGTTTTGCACTACAAACAAAATATGTTCAGCATGCATAGGAATTTGTTTATTCCCGCCCCCCCCCCCCCAAAAAAAAACTATCGTTTGGACCCCCAGCAGTCTGAGGAATGGTGAACTGGTCCTCTGCTTAAAAAGTCGGATGATCCCGGATCTACATTGTAGCATGAATGCAGTTTGTTGCGTGGTTTCAGCTAAGACAACACTTGAACTGGCTGAATGCTATGGGATCTTGGGGTTTGTAGTTTGGTGAGGCACCAGCATGCTTTAGCAGAGAAGGCTAAAGCCCTTGTTAAACTACAACTCCCAGGATTCTGTAGCATTGAGCCATAGCAGTTCTAGTGGTGTCACATCGCATTCATTTTACAGCATCGATGCACCCTATGTAAATTGCTGCTTAAATGCAATCTCATCAACACTTATAAAAATATGCTTTTTTAAAATTGCTGGCGGGTTGTCAAATTAGTCCCGACATACCCATTCATCTATAATATACATTCTAGGTTTATATGCTAAAATAGCAAATGTGCCACCTTATCAACTGGGTTTCTGTGTCAGACATTTTTATCCATTTCCAAAGTCAAAGCCAGCTTGGCATCGTCATAGGATTTAGCACAGTCAAAGTGAGATTATTAGGATATTGAATAACGGGGCGTGCAGACGGAGAAAGAGGAGGGCTTGTCTGTGCAAACACACACATAAATCTGACAAAAAGGGAGAGGGAAGCTGAAGGAAAGGCAAGCTGCAGTCTTTTAAATAAAAACACACACAGCATTGGTGACACTTTCTTTGGGGATGTATCAAGATATATAGGCAGTCTCCAACTTACAAGCAAGATAGGTTCTGTAGGTTTGTTCTTAAGTTGAATTTGTGTGTAAGTCAGAAAAGGTACATTTTGAAGTGTAACTCCAGCCAAACATATCTGATGCTTTGGATGGCATTGGGAAGGTTTAATACCTCTGCAGTGTTTTTTGCTGCCTGTGCTGTTTGGAAGATTTTTGTCCCTGTGATCATTGGATTTTGAAAAATGTGGCTTCTTGTGGGAACCAGGATTGGTGACAAAGCTTCAGTGGAGACCCCTTTTCCCCGTGAAAACTCTTTCAGGAGTTAATTTCCCTTCTGAATGGTAGATTTCTCTCACTTCCAGTTGTCTCACCCTTGTTCTTAGCTAGGAATCATTTGTAAGTCAGATGTTTGTAACTTGGAGACTTCTGTAAATATCACCTGTATATTATATCGGCACAGTTATCGATAAGTAAAGGAATGCTTATAAATACTCAATTTCAACAGAAGTATGGGAGTGAAATTGAGGTTTCTAGAATGAAGCAGAGAATGTTGTTATAGCCACAGAAGTCTATTAAATGTGGTATGAATTATATATGCAGGAAGAAATATTTCTACATGGGCTTGTAATTGTGAAATGGGCTTCTCTTTTCAACTTTGTACCCAGAGAAGTTGTAACTCAACAGCAGTAGTCCTGGCCACACTATGACTATGAGGATAAAGGATTAATGTCCTATTTCTGGAGAGGCAGAATTAAAATTTTAAAAAAAATGTTTACATAATGGCAGCGCCAAAGGCAGCATACTTGCTAGTGCCTGCCATTTTAAAAGATTTGGCAAATGCTGTTGAGTTTATATGGAGGCCTGAATTCCCTTAAAGCAGTGGTTCCCAACATTTTTTTTTCGTTTTTTCTTTTGGACAAGAGATGCCTCTCCAACATTAGTACAAAAAGGGTTACCAATCGGTTTTTGGTCAACTTTAAATTTAGTTTGGTTATTTGGGGTGCTGATTCAGAAAATTGCATTGGATAGACCACATCAGCTCTAATTTCTGACACAGAACATATGCCTATCCAGTAGTCGCCATCTGCTCGCCCAGAGAAAACCATATTTAATAAGCCACGTCACTATAAGTGGGTTTCATGAGACAAGTCACTCTTGTTGCAACAAAGTAGTAACTGTGAGGCCACGGACCATATTTTAGTTTTTGCGGATCACTGGTGGTCCACGGACCACAGGTTTGGAATCACTGCCTTAAAGGTACTAGATCCCCTCTGGCCTTGGAAGCTAAGCAGGTCAGGCCTGGTTACTGATTAAATGGGAGACCAAAAATGAACACCAAGCCCAATAAGTTACATTTCAAAGGAAGGAGCTTTCAAAATCACCTTTGCATAGAAAACCCTATGAAATTCATGGGGTCAACATAAATCGACAAGTAACTTGAAGGCACATATGTGTGCACGCACACACACATATTAAGTATATAAAAAGAGCTATCTCTGGAGAATGTAGAAAAATCAGACAAAAAAACTCATAGAGTTTGAAGTTAAAGTTTCACTCGCAATATTGCAAGTGTAAAGGTACTATCAGCTCAGTTCCTATGGTACTCATCCCATTATATTCCCCTGCTTGGAGTGGCAGGGTGCAATATTTTGAGTCTGAGATAATTCCAAGCTGCCGTTTTTGAAACATAGATAATCACAGGCATCACTATGTGGGCATCAAGATTTATCTTCATTGCCACTGCAAGAGGAATTTGTTTTATTGTTAAGTGCATTGGGCTAATTTAAAGTGCCCCTTATCCGGATAGGCAAAGTTGTATCATAGCCTAACATTTGGGGGAAAGGGTCCATGAGCATGTCACTGGGTTCCCTTTTCTAAACTCTGTGTGAGGGTCTCCAGTTCCCTTCATGGGAAATTTTTCCACTATTGTGTTGGAAACCGCTTTGAATCCCCTCAGGGGTGAGAAAAGCAGTATATAAATGCAGTAAATAAATAAATGGTGTCATTATGAATTATTCAGTCACTGCTACTAACGTCCCCACTTCCTTTACTTTTGGTAAATGCGGAACTGTTCTCTCCATTATTCAAAAACACACCTTCTGTGTTACTTACCTACATCAGATTAAAACATGATTTTTAAAAAATGTTTATGTCACACCAGAACCAATTTGTGAGTCTTTACGATGCCAGAGATTTGGCAATACTCTAATGAATAATGCATAGGAAACATTAAATATTCTATAGATGAAAGTAAGGTTCTTTTTCACAGCTGTAGAAAAGTTGCTTGCGGAGTTAATGTTTCAAGAAGGTGATCCCCATCTCTTTTTACTCAGAGATAATACTTTGGATATTATACACTTATTACTGTGACATCATATTGAAAGAAAATAATGATTCAAACTGTACCTCAAACTATTTTTCTCTCTTTAGTTGGGGGGAGAAGCT